CGCTTTTCGAAAACGGTTTTTGCATATTGTGGGGGCTCATGCAAGGACCTGAAAAGTGTGCTTCATTTTCGCTGCGCGCTTCCAGGAAAGGTAAAAACGAGTGAAAAGAAATCTGTGGAATCTGCTTCGTTCTGGGCCTCTATGCGGCGTAGGGTCACTTGCAACTTTGACCAGTTGTTGAGTGGGGGGTCCTTATGAAGGGGCCGTTTGAATCGAAGCGAAAAATCGCCGTAAGTGAGCTTCCAACTTGGGTCATGTGCTCAAGGGTGAACGGCTTCTTGCAATGTTCATCAACGATAAGAGCGCTAGCAACAGTCGAGCATCGGATGGCCTAACGCGGTCTTAGCAGGTGAAGGTCGGCAATCGGACAGTAGGGGGGGGGGGCGTTGCGTTGGTTCGGCGTCCTTGCGTGTGGGTTGCTGCATTTTTTGATTTCGCTGTTCTCGCTTCCATTTCTGTCTGCGCATGAATATAACTCGGATATTTGCCATTTATGGGCACATTCCGAGTAGCTGTACCTCATGAGTCAGTGCTATTCAACTATTTCGATTTTCACGCACCATTGAACAAGATTGTTGCTGGACGTTGATCCTCATAGGCTATACAGTGGATCTGATTGCGAATTTAGTAACTTCTGGTGTGGTGTCAATTATAGACAATTTGGGGCCACATCTTCTTTCCAGGCTGCGGAATTCGGTTATAGTACACATTAGAACGTCAGCGCTATTCTGTCACCAAGATTGCTGTGGCAGCGCAAGAATAGGATGTTAATTTGTGATCAGGGCCACTTGATCTTATCACTAAAACACATTTTCAGTCAAAACAATTTGTTTTGACCTTTTGGGTTGCCCGGTGTCCGTAGCGTCAACGATACTTCATCGCTGTTACGAAGATGTGAAACTCCGCTCACACTGCCGACCAAATGGTCAGCCCTACAACCCGAAAAAGTCAAAAAAAATTTTTCGCTCAAAACTTGCTCCTAGGGGTAATCGACAGTCCTGATCACGATTCTAGACTTTATTTTCGGTTCCAGTGCCATCTGGCACCGGCATAGTGCCGAAGAGCTGAGTCTGTGCATACTAACGAATTCGAACGAAAAAGCAGTTTTGCTCCATAAAAGTAGGATTGTTCAGTTCATCGTGAATGTTTTTATTAGGACCAATTATTTAGACAAACATGGATCCAAAAAATGAAAAATTGTAGAAAAGCAAAATTTTGTCCTCGGTGGGATCCGAACCATCGACCTATTTTTTACGTTTTTTTTTTTTTTTTTTTTTTTTTTTTTTTTTTTTTTTTTTTTTTTTTTTTTTTTTTTTTTTTTTTTTTTTTTTTTTTTTTTTTTTTTTTTTTCTAGAAGCCGCGCGAGCCAAGCGAAACGAACTCAGTTTTCTTGGTCCTCGGAATGTGCCCCTTACAATATGAAAAGACCATTGTGAAAAGCTCACCACGCCTACGAACGACCTCCCTTTTGTGAGAGCCGTAGTGTGGAGTAGGTACCTCAGCAGTAATGGCTGGATTAAGGCGCCTTGCAATATTTTGCGCTTTGTTGCAGCCGCACTGTACAACTGCATACCATGTACATCTAAATTGCGATAATTCTATGCTTTAGCACATGAATAGGTGTATGCTTTGTTACGTGCCTGCGAATTCAAGTATGTTACTCTCCTACTTTCCCCATAGACTTCCGCTCTCATGGTGGAAGCTGGGATACGCTGACATACGCTGGAGGACGCCTGAAACGCTAGATCGATATCCACACCTTCCTAGTCGCTCGAAGCGCCACTGTACGCTGGCGTGAGAACTCCAGCGAGAATAACTGGGGTGGCCGAAAAGCTTGAGAGCTGCCAAGTGGTTGTTGCCAGGAGTGGCTGTCCAGCTACGGGAGAACGTGTTCTGCATCGCCTCCAAGGGATCGAGCAAACAGGCACTATTTTTTGTTATACACCAGTACACTGATGAATTGCAAAACCTTTCTTTCCAGCGATTGTGCTTGAATTGAGGATATGCTACCGCTTGATTCATCACAGATGACCATTTTTTGGCGTGAATCAACCTACACCGACCTTTGCAGATATCGTTGATGGAGTGGTCGCAATAAGAGAAGGGAGTCTAGCAATAGGAATTTTGAAAATGTTTGAGCAGGAAAAGGTGAATCAGTCTTACAGAAAAGTTTGAACCGGAATCGTTGTACTCATTCAATATGCCTTCGTTCCAGATTGTTCTCGATGGAGCTGGCGCAATTGGTCCGTCAGCTTTGCTGGCTGGCAATATTGAAGGACTGTCAGGAAAAGAGTTCGGTCTGATTTAGCTGTCGGGAGGGAACATCGACAGCTGTCTAGTTGGACGGACTATTGAGAAAGGTGAGCTCTACATCTAATCGTGAAGCCTCTAAGTTCTAACTTGTTTGGTGGCATAGTTTAGGAAATAACTCGACCATTTTAGGGGGCTCTATCTAGCGGTCAGCGTTAGTTTTTCCACCAGAGGATTGAGAGGCTCGCTTTTCTTTTGGGATGGGTGCCTTTAGCCTCCCCGAGCACTCCTTGGAGGAGGGCACCAACAGCATAGACGACTGATGGGGCGTAGTTGCTGCACTACCTTTCTCCTGCGAGATCTCTCCCTATGTTACTATCACTTGGAGACACGGAATGGCGAGGTCATTTAGCACGGCCCCGCTTGGCGCAACCCATTTGAAAAAAATCAAATTCAAACCTCATCGAATTTCCCATTATGTTTCAGACCTCCTCATAGCACAGCCACGATCACTCCATGATCCTTTGTTCTGGGAACGAGGTAGCATAACTGCCAACAAAACAACGCTTATAAGTTTCCGCTTCAAAATGTGAGAACGTAGCGGCGGTGACGCACAAGGCTGCTCGAGTCCGCCCTCTTTGATAGATACAGTCCTCATCATTGCCGAACCGGTGGGGCGTGTCAGCCAGTATGATGTGCACACTGTTGAAGCCGTTCTCAGCCTTTTTGTTGAAACGCGTATGCGACAAAAAGTGGTAGAAAACGAGTAATACGAAGGATATAATACAGTAATGTCACTTGCCCGCTTCAACAACTGGTGCAGAACGACTTTGGCACCGCGCCAAACGCAGCCGCACTGACCCCACCCCACCGGTCCGCAATGATGAGGACTGTGTCCACTCCGTCTTATCACACTGCCTTGCTCATTTTACATTGCTGTCTCTCGCTCCCTTGTCTGTTTGTCTTCTAGCCCGATATCCACACCAATTCTTTGCCTTTCGCTTGGCACACGTAAGGCCTTATTTGGAGCATTCTCGACGACCTCTTCCTTTTTTCGTAGTTCAAACTCAGTCTACATAGCACATTACGATTCTGTTTCTGGACCCGCTACAACCAGCGTTTCGCTTGGCCCAATTAGCGAGTGTGCCTTCAATAGGAAAGGGGTGAGGGGGCACTCACTCTCCTTTGAATGCTACACCCACACACCACATACGCCGCCACGGTGTAGGACGGCAGGAAACCAAGCACCCCGTTAATTAATCCATGACACTGAAAAACCTTAATCACCTTTTTCATGAAAATTCTTTACGGCCAAGTGTCAGCAACAATGGGCGTTGAGAAACCATGTATTAGGTCATCCCATTCAAACGTGCCGCTGGTTTTTTTTGAATAAAACAAAGAGGAGAATAAATAGAAAAGTGATATTTTAGCTTTAGGATGAGTAAATCCCTCCTTCACCAATGACCCGCTCCCAGTGCCCCGAGGCCTTTGGACCTCTGGTACCTTCGATTTTTCAATAAGTGTGGGTAAATTGCTGTTGTTGCCAATTTCGGCAAATGACAAAACATTGTAGCGTCTGCCGTTGGAGAGTACTCTCAACTGAATAGAACAGTTGTAATCGCATGGCTTTATGACGGGCGAATGGGGCGATTGAACTCAGGTCTCAGTATTGTTTGTGTCCCAGCACTGATCTACAATACAGTTACTCGGGGTCTGGCACTATGACGAGCAACGGTGGCCTTCTTGTAGTTGTGTGGTAGCATCCATTTGTCGATCTGAATGCCGAGGAACAGGCAATATGCACCGACAGTGACGGATTTGTTCTCTGTATAGAGCCGCTTGAAAGCCACAGTGTGGGAATCCTTTGCTATGATGATCATCCACTTGCGCCCACGTAACTCTTCATGGTAGAACTCGGGCGGCTTCTCATCTGCATTCATACAAAATTGACGATTGTGAGTTTCGGCTCGAGGTCCGAGACCACCCATATTCATCTAGGGCCGGGGTGCGTTTTCACAGTTGTGAGTGACATCTCATGCTGAGAACATTACTGCTGGAGGTATAGAATCGGTACTGCGTTCGTGCTTCTATAAGAAAATTGGGTACCCATGCGCCACCCTCTTGACCATCCTCCGTTTATCGGACATAACTCGGGCAGCAGTTGCAGCTGGGATGTCAGACTCGCGGGGAAGCTCGACAAGGGTCCAGGCTCTGTGATCAGATATTCAGTGCCTGACTTCATCCACCCGTTTTTCTTGTGCAGGATGAATATTATGGGACCACCACGACAACAAATTTTTTCCTTTCTTCCTTGTACGGGCTCCTGAACCAGATCTTCCACCGTGTATTTCGAGAACACCCTTACACACAACTATGGTCCGGCGCAGGTCAAATTTGAGCAGCGCACTTTCCTTTTATGACGTCTGATTTGAAAAACCGGCGCCGATTTTCACCACTCGGGCTTCTTTTCAATTTCTCGAGAACTTCTTCTGGGGCTAGGTTCGCCAAATTTCACAGATACACAGCTTAAGGTACTAGCTTCCAAATGGTATAGTAGCCCGCTGCTCTATCCCCTTTGCTTTTCTGCCATTCCTCTATATGTAGCGGCACGTTTGAATGGGATGACCTAATAGAAAGGGAAATTGACGGAGTACAAGCGTCGCTGTTGTGGAAACACGTGGAGGGGCCGTGCCGGCCGCTGGGGAGTGGGAGGGGAAGGGGGGGGGTGCGTCGGCGGGTTTTCCCGCTTCACATTTTACTTTTATGATCTCTCCCCGTGCTTCCCTCCCGTCTCCCCCGCTCGACGGAAAAGTTTTGGGTGAAAGACTGGAAAGTGTGGCAGATTTCGGAATAACTGTTAGGAAGCTGGGAAACGTGAAGGAATCAGGGTACAGCATCGCTGTGTTGAAACACATGGGCAGGCGTCGTACCCGGCCGCTGTATGGGAGTGGGAGGGGGGGGCGTGGTTCGTGCGGGTTTTCCTTACTTGTATGGGAAAAGGTAGTTACTCTGCTGGAGGAGGGTAGCACCTACACCCCACTTTGGTGGGAGAGGGGGGGGACGTACTGAGAGCCTCCTTCGAGGAGGCTCGCACTGACACTACCACTTCACACATCACGACGCTGTACCCTGGGAGCACGCTTTGTTCGGGCTAAGACAAGCGACCTTGTTTGGCTAACAAGGATGGATCGGTCGAAGTGGACCATTTTGAAATGCAGATGTATATATACTGTATACGGACTGAAGGGTCTTTTGGACGGGGGTTACGAAACCGTCTTCCATATCTGCTGCGGACCTCCCAGAACAAAGTGACGGGACCTTTTTAGGGGGAGCATAGTGGCATACATTACGAATTAGCGGCGTGAGGCTTCATCGCTCGAAGCAGCGTGGCCGAGTGGATACGTTGCAGGTCTCACGGCCACATACGGTTTGGATCCTTGATGCGTTTTCTGTTTTGCATTTTTCCTAGAATGGTCTCTTTGCATTAGAAAGCATTTCTGCATAACACTTTGTGCTCGAGACCAAAAGAAGTATTTCTAAACTTAATGGAGCATTTTATATCGATTCCATGAAGAACATTCTTGGCTGTTAACTTTGTCACCAAAAGAGCCGACGACTTCCAGCTAGGTGCAAAGCCACCACTTTGGGGTTAAAACATCTTTCAGCAACTATCTGAATGATGAATGGAAGGTGTTTCTCCACTATGATACTCGCAAGTTTGTCACGTCAAGCACGGTCGTGGGGAAAGTCTTTCAATGTACACTATCTACTTACGCAACAACTTGCGTGTGGTTTCGTGTACAGCCTTCATTTCGGGAGAATGAAAGCCATTCCTTTCTAGGCAATTCGCATCGTTGGTAGAGCATTCCTTTTTGGTACAAAATAGGCTCTATCGAATCATCAGAAATCAAGGTGAGCAAAGAATGGGGCACTATTTACTCTTATATTGCCCGACCACAGAAAATCTTGGCTCAGTTTTTGACCGAGCTTTTCCGTTGGTGCTTAGAATTGGCTAAACATTTTGGCTTTCGGAGGGTTGTTTGAGTACCGAAATACCAATTCCACATCTGGTCGACTCGAAACCTCCTGGCGCTTACTCCACGGGCGCCGGCGCCAAAATACCTCAAATCACCGGCGCCTGTCACGCGGGCGCCATGGGGAATATTACCGTTGGCAGCGGATGGTGTTAATCGTATGAGGGCAGATTATACTACTTCCAAAAAACAGCCATTCGAGCCAGATTCTGTCACGGAGGAAAAAAACTCGGTCAAAAACTGGCTCGATTCCGGAATGCATTGGCAGTATAGGCCGTTAATATCTGGCCCCAAAGAATGTTCTCCATGTAAATCGTATAAAATGGCTCCATTCGTTCAGAAACATTTTATGGTGGCATTCTCGAGCACAGGAATTGTGCAAAAATGTTTTTTTTAATGCACAGAGACCATTGTAGAAAAAATGCAAAACAGAAAACGCGTCAAGGATTCAAACGCACGACAATATGACCAAGGGAACTACAGCGTACCCACTCAGCTTTCTGTTGCTGCCTCGAGCAATGAAGCCTCACGCCACTAATTCGTTTCACTGCCTATGCTTCCCCTGAAAGGACCGTTAATCTTTGTTGGGAGGTCCGCAGCAGATATGGAAGACGGTTTCGTAATTCCCGTCCGAAGACCTTTCAGCCGGTATACATTTCATTTCAAATGGCCACTTCGACCTATCATCCTCCACTTGTAGGACCAAAATCCAATTCGCAACAGTGCCGACCTTATCTCAAAGAGTTATCCAATGTTGCCAAAAGCCGATTTGTGCTTCTACTGAGTAATTGCAGGGTTAGCAATCGATAACCGCTTAATTCAAGTCAGAGTAACAATGCCAGATATGATTGGCGGCTTCAATGAGCTATTTGAAATATTCGCCGAGAATGGGTCATCAATAAAGGAGTTTCTGACGGTAGGCAATCTTTTCTTGGGTGGAGCATCTGTTTGGACGGGTAAAGAGAGTTGAAAGTGACTACACTCATTGTAACTGCAAACGATATGGGTGCATGACGAGACGTTAACTGACACAGCCGAGAAATTCTTTTCCACATTCTCGCCGGCCAACAAGGCAATACCATTTGTGTGGGTAAGGCCTTACTGACTGTCCTCGTCATTCCTCGCCCCCCCCCCTCACACCCGTCTTTCGTGTGGGGCATAATTGCCGCTGTATTAGCTATCGCTTGTGAAAACTTCCTTATAAACTTTTGTAAGAATTTAATAGTTGTAATTTTGTAGAGGTCCGGAAGTACATGTAAGGTTAAAAGCAAAGCTCGCCATCATTCGCTATCCTACTATATATAATCCGCAAAGTATGTCTGTCAGTGTGTGTGTGTGTCTGTTTGTCTGTCTGTCTGTCTGTCTGTCACGAAATTCATAGCGAGCGCCGCAGAAAAGATAGGATGACAGCTCCAAGAAGTGATATACGTGGCAGGACGGGAACACTTTTGGTGGGTGATAGAAGGTAAAAACAGTCTGACAGAGTATTGATAAGGGCGCCTTACAAGGGAGGGTGACCCAGTCCATGTAGTGGCAGGGACATCAGTGATAGTGACTTTGGTCGAACGGTATTAGATGGGTGTGTAAAGGAACAACAGTATTCGCGCACTAGTGCGGTGGGCAGTATGGGAGTGAGTTTATCAGCTTGATAAGGGGATCTGCAGAAAGGGCTCGCGCCGTTCAAAAAACGGCGAGCGGTACGAGTCCACAGCACCGGGTCGACCAGCAGCAGTGGGACATTGGCTCGAAGGATGATATAGGGCACATGGAACATTATTAGGTAATTGACAAACGAACAAGCTAGTAGCCGATAGGTTAGGTCAAATTGCTGGAGCCTTTACACTGACCAAATTATAGTTTTTAGTGCATAGGACAGTGATATGCGGCGTGAAAGGCGAGCTCCATCAATTGATAAGAAAGGATAAGCGCTCTCATTACATCTCTTATCACTATACTGCCAAGTATTGAGGCTCAGTGTGCAAACTTTCCTTTAGCATCACTTCTCTGATAGCACTAGAAAATGACGGCGCGGACCACACCCCTTCTGCAAGTAGGAGCGTGTGCTAAGTAGTGAAGGATCCTAAGCCTTGCTCTATCTGTTACGATTCGATCACTACAGCGCACTAGTTGAAAAATCCGTTAAAGTTATGAAGCGCTCCTGGCGAAGCTAGGCCAGCTCGCGACGAGCTAAAGAAAGGTCGAGGGAGAGCTAAAGAGAAGGTGACGGACTGGAACATAAGAGATTAGGCTTGCGGACAGACGATAAGGTTTGAGTAACTTGAAAATGAAGGAAAAAGCCCAAGAAATATATGCCAACTACCCTAGAATATATACCAACTGCCCTACGATCCCGTTTGCACGTATCTAGTTGACTCCATCTTCGACACTACTCCCTAATCTGCGCAGGTGATTTCCCGATAAGAACTCTACGACCATACGAGTGACGATTTTCATGCTTTTTCGTCCTGCAGCTTCGTCTTTTCACTGAAGACGGGGCTTTGAAGGCGGGGTCTAGAGCGACCCGCTGACTCGAAAAAGGAGGCGTCGACTGAGCTGAATTGCCCAAATATAGCGTCCCTTCTCTAAATTTTTTGTTTGCCGCAAACCGGTACAAGTTTGTTCGTCGTGGACCACACTTATCCTCCCGACACCATATTTTCAACTTCTACACTTGATCGCGGGCCGTGCTTTCAATTAGCAGCGGCTGGTTTCTACCATTATAAGACTACGCCCGCCCCGTTTGCGTAGCGGAACGATTGCGCTTCAGCCCAATCCCTCTACCGAGCTTTGCTGGGAAACTCCGCCGCTCATTGGCATGTCAATTCGTCAATAGAACTACCAACGCTATCTACACGTCATTTTTGCAGCACTGGAGTGGGAGAATCCTACGGATTTGGATGTTCAGTGTCGCAGTTATGCAATTCGGCTTTCAGGAAGTAGGATCGTGAAATGCCGCATCACGCTTTGATGGGGTTCGTCTGCGAGCTATCTGTGCACACAATGTCTTGATCTCTCGCATGAACTGGTAGTGTGACGCTCCGCGTTCAGTCGCGTCCGTAAGGCCCTCCCTTTCTGGGGAGATGTATGGATTCTATTGCACCCTTATTCACATCCTTACATGGTGGGAATTACCCCACAACAATTTTATAGCCTGGAAAGGTTGCAAAGGATCAGCAGTTAGGTTTTCACCTATTCTGAAATCTCTCTTTTTCTTCAACAATAACTTCAGGACGGAGTTTTCCATCGGTTCGATGTGCTCACATTGGAATGCAAAATCACCGCCGAAGTATGCGGTCTCGAACACGCCATGCAACTGAACGAGGCAATTGTCGCTAGGTCAGTGAAAAACGTTTTCTAGTATGTGGCGCTAAACAAAAAATCAAATGAAATAAGCATAAAAAGATGTTTACATAAGAAAGTTGTAGATATGGGCAGAATTGTCGGTTCACACTGAGCCAGAGAACTCAGCGAATCAATGCATAATGGCCTAGCTGACGTATCTTCAAGATGACATCGTAAATATATGCAACAAATTAGTGAAATTTTTGACTCCCAATAAATCGTTAAAATGGCATTCGATGTGTTTATGGATCTGCAGATGTAGCGCGGCGGTAAGTGGCGCTATTGTCTTGAGATCGTTTTGAGCCACTGAACACGATACTGACACAACTTTCCATCATGACTGAAAGAACTAACTGGTAGTAGGCCTGTTCGAAGCCATGTTGCATTGTATGGTCTTTTATTTGAAAATCGTGTGCCTCAACACATCGGGTACAAGACGGGTCACCGGCAGCTCATGACTTTGGGTGTGGAGCATTTCTTCCGTGTCGCAGGGCGAGTGGCAAAATAGGCGTTGCAGGTGATGAGACCTACCATTCTCACCATGACCCAGACCACCCGAAGTAGTGGTCGCTTTTGTATATGGTTCTATTGCAAAACGATATAAAGGCGACAGCTAGAAGACTTTTTTTGGGAAGGGATTCCGAAGGTGGGTGAACCATTTATCACGTGTAGAAAGCTGAAATATGTGAGGTCACAGTGGCCATAGGATGGGATGCTATTTAGGGGTACGCGACAAGAGAATCGCAATTTGTCGCGCTGGTGGGCGTCGCGTGCGACGTCGCGCCCGCAAATGACGATGGTTCCAGGTAGTAGATGGCGAACAGGCAATTCAGAACCGAAAATAGTCATGAATGTCTACGATGACGGGGTCTACATGAAGTCCGGTGCTCCAATCGACAGGTTAACACGAGTTAAGAAAACGCCGCGCCCATCGCCGCGCGCGGCGGAGCGGCAAATTACCGTTCCTCTTGCCCGCTTCCCGTAGGGATCACCTGTCAACTCTTGCAAAGCGATGAAATACCATACAAATGCCATTTAGAAGTACCACTATATTGCCGTATTACCGAATACTACCGAGAAATCTCAAAGATTTTCGGCGCTAGAGCTTTGACTACAGAACTCTTGTCCCTTCGATTAGAAGTACGTTTTTCTAAGCCGCCGACACCGTTTGGTCACTTCCGCACCACCGTTTTTTCGTCTACCGTGGTTCGAAAACGGTTGCAGTACTTGTGCTAAGGGTATGTAATGACTCCAATGAAATATTTGGTTGGCCCATAAGTAATGGCGTTTTTTCAACTGGAAATTTTGTTCAAAAAGTGAAATGTTTTGCGAGCAAGTTTGATATCATCTGATAGGAAACTTCTCGTACTATAAGAATATCGAAACAGCTTCGGGTGAGGAAATGATTTTTGTGAATTTTTTAGTCGTTGAAGTTGAAAGTTGAGTCGGCGAAAATTAGCACCTTCGACAGCTGCCTCTATTTACGTCTATTCGAAGTGCTAAAATCGCTTAAGCTGCTCCATACATTTGCAATAGGTTGAGCTAGAAGTCCCAGCGAGGGAATCCTCATAGGACGCTTCGGAACTAATTTCAAGAATTTCGAAGTTGGCAACCTTCACCTCGCAGATAATGGGCAGGATCACAAGTCATCGCGTCTGTTCCACTTGAAATTTTATGCTAATAGTTGAATGTTTCGCTAATGTGTTTTGTATGCTCTGATAGCAAATTTCGTGCTCTATAACACTGCAATGGAAATCTGTTTTCCATACTTTCTGTTAATTTCAGGTTATTAATACGGAATGTCAGGTCGATGAGAATCAGCATTCCCGACTTCTTCTCCCTACCGCTTTCCACGGAAGCTTCAAAGCCCCTGGAGCAGCTCAATAGATTCGCCATGGTTTGAGTAAAGCATTGAGTAACAGATTAATATTAGGACGGCTCACAATTGATTTTGAGAAAAGCAAAACCGACAACGTTGACCTTGCAGACATCCGGTCGACCCATACCTCACGATTTTTTTTGTTTTCCTTAGTAAATTTCAAACACAGTATTTACAACACTATAAAAAATATAGATGTTTACAATAAACTAGTCAATAATATATTCTCCATTGTTTCTTACAACCTCCCACCGATCAGCCAGCTCAGTCAGTCACCGAGAAGGCATTGAAAAGCTAATTCACTCGAAATCCCAGAGATGAGGTAGGCGTGGCTGCGTACTTCAACTAAACGTCGTGGTGGCTATGCTTTTGGAGAGATATTTTCATTTTGACCCAAATGTGGTCACGTCTCTGTCCAACAAAGAACAAGATGGCGGTTGTCTCAAATTGAAATATCCCACGAGTAACCAGTTCTGTGCCATGTTCGAATGCACGCCTACCCCGTCTCAGGGATAAGGAGTATATTAATCTGTTACTAAATGCTTTACTCAAACCCTGGCAAATCTATTGAGCTGCTCCAGGGGCTTTGAAGCTTCCGTGGAAAGCGGTAGGGAGAAGAAGTCGGGAATGCTGATTCTCATCGACCTGACATTCCGTATTAATAACCTGAAATTAACAGAAAGTAAACAGCTATGGAAAACAGATTTCCATTGCAGTGTTATAGAGCACGAAATTTGCTATCAGAGCATACAAAACATATCAGCGAAACATTCAACTATTAGCATAAAATTTCAAGTGGAACAGACGCGATGACTTGTGATCCCACCCATTATCTGCGAGGCGTCCTATGAGGATTCCCTCGCTGGGACTTCTAGTTCGAACCTATTGCAAATGTATGGAGCAGCTTAAGCGATTTTAGCACTTC